ACACCAGAATCTCAGACAGAACCGTCAAAGGTTGAGTGCATTGTGGGTAATGTAGGCGCCTCATGTTTTAAGAATCAAGAAGAATGAGTGGATTAAAAAGGACAATATCTCTGCTTCTGCTGCATCATTATTATTTTTAAGCTAATTTACTGATGGACTCTTATGTGCAATGTATAGGTACTTATTCTTCCATTCATACCTGGTACTTTTCCTCCACTACATTACATAATGAAATATCGAACTATTATCTAACAGCTATACTACTTCCAACTACTTTTTACATTAAGATTTAGCATTCAAAACATATAACTTTATGAACTATGATGTATTGCTGCCCAACAGTTATAGCTATATAAAGTAGTAGGAATTTGCTCCACCTCAACCTTCAACATTGAAATGGCTCTTGTGCTATTTAAGTAATTATGATTCAATTATAATCCCCAGTCTGAAAGAGGCCACTCTGCGTGATTAGTACTTTTATGTAGGCTACATTTAACTGGTTTACTTGTACTGTACATACACTGTGATATCAACACTTTTTCTTACTTCATTAAAGAATCTGAATGCTTCCTATTTCTCCCCCACATTCTGAAACGGAAGCAGTTACGCAGGAGTCCGGTCCATCATCGTGAAATGACGTTGACACCTCCCGCTATCACTCTGAACAAACAATAGCGAGCAATAATAATAATGATTGCAGGCTATAGATGATAATTTGTCATCACTATTTCCCCGAGGTACTTTTCAAAAACAGCCACTGACGTGCGGGCTCGTGTCAGGAGGGGCATTTAAGTTTCACCATTACGCATTTCTATCCAAGGCATCGGTGTGTAACTTCATCAAGACCTGCAACCGGAGCACTTTTCACCCCGCTGCGATATCGGATAACTTATTCTAGACTATGGTGGATATTTTCCAAAGTTAGATCGAGCTGAATAACTGCAACTAGGGATTGAAGCGCGGCTGTTTAGATCTGACATTGTGTCTGATAACATGGGCGGAGTGTGCGAATGCTGTTCATGGTCTTGCAGACCGCTGTGGCCACTTTTGATTATTCTGGCTGCGATACCGTGCATGTTGCACTGCTCAGAGAGTCCTGCAGCAGTTGGCAAAATGTATCCACGCGGCAACCACTGGGCAGTAGGTAAGAGAAACTTCATATACAATGTTTTTTTTTTTTTTTTGTAAAGAATATTTGTTTTCATGTGTAGCCTAATATTGTCTTTGCTTGATTGATTTGGTTAATTTGCACCATTTGGCGAAAATATTCAGAGTAACTCATATAATACCTCGTAGGATCAGCAAATATTTTTACATATTTAGAGCGTATTACCTTATTTGTCCTGCTTTATCATCGTTTGAACAAATATTTCTTCACGAATAACAATCATGTTAGTTTATTGATTTACTCATTATGATATTGCAGGGACTTGAATGTCTAAACTCTGTGTCAGTTACCTTTTCATGTAATAGATTTATTTCTTCTTCTGCTGGACAGGTTCACAAAAGGAATACATTACAGTGAATTGAACTAAAGTAACCTATTTAAATACCTCTTTTAGTTAATAAAGCTGTTTCATGCGACTGTTTGACATACAGTGTGTTTGATCCAGGCTTGCAACGTTGTGAACGTGAGGATTTTCATTTACAGCTTAATAACAGATCATGGTGTTGTTTAAACCAAATTGGACCAACAGATTTATTCCAGAACAGTTAATGCATCCGGTTACGTCCAACTCCCCAGGTCACTTGATGGGAAAGAAGAGCATCGAGAGCCTGCCTGTACTGCAGGAGACAAACCATGACAGTGACTACCTCCCACCCTCAGAAACAGCCGGGGTCACAGAGCGACTGATGGAGGCTGCGATGCAGCAGAAGAACCGGAAGAACCAGAAACAGACGATGCCCCAGACTGCAGACAGGCTGCTTCGGCTGCACAGCGGCTGGAGAGGCGAGGACAGAGACAAATATCTCAGAGAGGTCAGTTTGTGGATTATCAGTTTATCAGTGATTCTTCAAATGTTGACAGTTTGGAAATAAGATGTTATCGTTGCATGTTTTTCTCCATTGTAGATGTCAGACCTGCTTCTTCTGGCTTTGAAACTGGGAGACAATGACTCCACCTGAATGCAAGCCGAATTTAAAGAAGGGTCTTCATCACCGACTGAACATGTGCCCTGTAATCGCACATTCACATTGTATATTTTTTTCTGCTGTAAGAGTACGCTGGAAACCCAATAAAAATGTATTTTATCAGTAATTTAATATGTCTAATATGCACGTCATGCAGAGTGTGATTACAGACAGACGTGACAAAGTTATGTTTCCTAAACTGAGAAGTCTGAATAAATTTAACGTTGTGATAACTGCATTGTGGATGTCTAATCATGCTTTGCACTCTACAAGTAACATTTTGTTTATTTTCATTTTTTTACCACACATTCACTGTTTTTGTTCTAAAACATGTAATGCTCTTAAAGCTTACTCCACCTGTACAGTAACCAGTCTGTACCACCAGATGGTGCACAACATCCATTCTGGGAGCACCTGTAGTTAACATTAAACACACCTCAGTGTGTATTTCGGACAGTAGTATAGATGACAGGGACTATTATTAGCCCTCATCGGGTTGCAGATGATTGGAAATGCTAATTGTAACAATTTGATTGCACACATCTTTTTACTTAAAGCCAAAAGGAAAGTGTTGTCTTCTGTCCTCTTCCCTCATTTGTCGCGGATGATTAGCGAACAATAGAGGTACAAGCCACTTTCACCCCGTCGTTATGAGCCTAATCCCAGGAGCCAATGGGATAAAGTTTTAAAGTTAATGAGGAGCAAATAAGTGGATTAACAAACCTGTAAAACAGAAGGAGGAAGTCTAGGAGTTTAAGCTGCTCTGTTCTTGTCGTTTAAGTGAAATGATTAAATGTTAAGTTGGCGTGAAGTGATACCATGAAACGGTTCAATGTATATTTTTTATCTAGTTGATATGATTATGATCTTTGGCCCTATTTGAGTGTTTCAGACAAATTCAGTTCATTATGAATAACATCATTAAATAGCTGAAAATGTCATTCATCTTACCTGCATTTAGTGTTAAATGGACCTTATCAACAGGTCACAGCTATTCTGTTATATATTTACTTTTGCATCACAGTCATTCCTGATGTACACACATTTATTTTTTATCCTGTCAGACATTTCTGACAAATCTCAATGTCTCAAATGTGAAACAATTGTCTGGGGAAAACACAATTAGCCACAATGTTGTTTATGAATTTTACATATAAAGTTTATTGTGAGAAATATTCACATGTGTTAAATGTTTCATGGAGAAGATCAAAAAGCAGCAGGGAAGGATGAATCAAAAATGAGGACTGCTCCATTTACAAAAGTAGAATAAATATGGGTACTAATGGACTCGTTGTATTGGCAACAGAACACTGGATAAGAACGATACCAGGTTGAACAAATGTAAAACTTAACAGTAAGCGCAACTTTCAGCAAAGATAAAGAAAAACACCAGATCATCAGTGTTCATTCATTTCATATTTTCACAGGAATTTCACAGTTAGTGTCACAGATTTAGATCGATGCTTATAAGGGTGACACTTTACTTTAAGTCCCTTTGTTTTGCATTTATAAGCACTACAAACTTTTAACAAATGGTTTCTAACACTTTATAATGAAGCCGTGAGCATCTTAGGATATTTTTGAAGTGTTAATTAATGTACAGTCTTTGTCAATTAGAACTTCTCCTATGAAGACATATTACAACAACGCACTATCATGTTATTTATTATCTCTTACTACCTCCGCCTCTTACAAACACTTACATCTACTTCATTATAGTGTGTCATAAACCATTTATTCAATGTTCACATACTGCTTATGTTCTACTTAATGGGAGAGGAAAAGGGTTACCCTTATAAGTGACGACGATGTCTCTTTATCCTGGATGTCGACTGTAGATTTCACTCTTTCAAAATAACAATCCCGTCTGCATGACGATGAAGTCTGCTTCTCAAAAGATGCAGGACGATGCATTCTGGGTTTCAATTGTCCATTTTTAACCTCCACTCGGCATCACCACGTCTTCCCAATAGACTGAATATGTTCCTTGGCCTTCATCCTCAGTGAGGCAATACTAGAGTTCCTTGGGTCAGCTGAGCAGTGGTACGCGGGGGGCGGAGGGCACATGGAGCCCATGTGGGGCAGGTGAGGGCTGTGTCCCAGGGCAGGGGAGTTGAGGAAGGAGGCCGACATGGAAGGCGGAGGAGAAGGGGTGTAAGTGCATGGGAGGCCTTGCGAGCCTGTGATGAAGCCCGGGAGGGACTGCAGGGAGGTGGAGGTGGTGATCGGGGTGGAAAGCCAGGGGTCCAGCTGCAGACTGGAGCACAGGGAGCTGGTGGGAGAGCGGCTGAAGGAGAGCAAGGAGGAAGAGGTGTCCTGGAGCTTGATGGAGCTCACCTCCAGCTTCTCCTGCCGACGCCACTTTGCCCGCCGGTTTTGAAACCAAACCTGGAAAGAAAGAGGATGATATCAATTTTCAATTCATTTTAACTCAATACACCTTTATTAACCCCTGACAGGCAACTGAACAGATACACACAATAGAGAAGAGAGAGAAAACACCTTTAAAGCTAAAAACAATCAAAGCCTTAAAAAAAACTATAGCTATTATCTAAAATACAATATTATGTGAAAGTATTAAAATATTAAAAAATATGGAGCATCACAATATGAGATTTATGAGTGATAATAACATAGCACTTTGCATTCAATTGTAAAGCTATAATTAATAATTAGTGATTGTTACAAAATAAATTAATTGAACTGACGGTTTTTCAGTTTCTTTTAATTTCGAATCGATGATAAAAAGCCATAACTAAAGTTTCACATTTTGTAAATAAATTTGAATTAAAAATCTCTTCCAAAATAAATAAAATAGCTTTTGCAGTTTTTACACTAAAACATGGACTGTCTTAACTGATCCAAACAATGTGAGTTCTATCAATTTTATTTTCGTGATTCCTTAGCAAGTTAAATAAACCTGCAAATCAAATTAATTTGATCAAATTAAATGAAAATGTTACAAGTTGTTTCACTAAATGTCTAAATTGAATGTAATAATGGTAGATCTACCCAAAAATTAACTTTTTATGTTAACATTACAACTATATGGATGACATTTTTTGAAACATTATTTGTTTTTCTTCTTTAAACTATTACTGATATGCATATGTGCATATATATTTATGCAGCCACCATGCAGGCCGAGAATATGCGCGTAAAGTGAGAAGAACAGGCGATGGAAGTGGTTGTTTTTGGGTACATACCTGCACTCGGACCTCTGGCAGGTTGACCTTCAGCGCCAGCTCCTCTCTGCTGTACACGTCCGGGTAGTGGGACTTTTCGAAAGCTCTCTCCAGTTCGTGAAGCTGGAAGGTGGTGAACGTTGTCCGGTTCCGACGGTGTTTCTTCTTCGGGTTTTCATCGTCGGACAGTTTGCCGTCCCCGTCCGGGGAGTCCGGGCAGACCGAAGCTTCGACGGCACCGTTTGCGCAACAAACACCTGCGGAGAAACGAGAGTGTGAGGACCGAGACAAAAACGCTTGGACATGTCAAGTTTGAGCCCAGTTTAAATAGGCTATGTGTCCTAAAATCTAATTCTGAAAACTACAAGTACAACTCTATTTTCCTCAAGTATCGTATTAATGTTTTTATTTATTAAGTCATATTTTTAGCACTTTTATTGCAAGTCAACCTACTGAAAGACAAGTCTGTTTGCGCACTATCAAGACAATGATTGAGAAAAAAATAATTAAATGTTCTTTAGAAACTTGTAGACTCAAAACAAGATACCACATGGCATATTAAGTGTATATTTGCACTTAAATTGACATTTTAAATTTAGAATAAAACGAAACATAGGCTACTTACTGTCAAAACTTTCCGAGGAGTGGCCTTTTTTTAGAGGGGTCATCATTACATTCCGTTCAGCATCTTTGCCCAGGGCTTTCTCTGTCATGCTGTAGCAGGCCGATTTGTGGAAGATGGTGTCCTCTTTAAATCCCAGAATCGCCTCTATGCTGTGGACTGTGGACGGATTGTCCCCCGGGCTCTGGACGCAGCGTGCGGAGGGAGACAGGCGCTCATCCATCATCATCATCACTTGGGAAGTTGATCCAAGAAGCCACATTGGTCGGTGAGGTCCAAAAAATGGTCACAATTACACAACTTCTTTACAAATGTATCGCTGCTCTTTGTGTTTTGGCAAAGTTGTAAATTGCAAACCAGAGCGGAGTGGAACACTTGAGCAGAAGACGCACACCAGGAAGCCTGTCTTGCTCAGTGGATATGGAGCATCTTCAGAGGTGGCTTTTAAAGTGGTGGCTGCGGTAAGACTGCTCACGAGGCACCCCCGCTGCACGTCAGAAAGGGGACGTCCTGTTGGAGTTGGTCCTGGATTTAGGGGTAACTTTGCGTACATGCAGGCACCAGCGCGCACACCCTCCCTTAAACTCCTCCCCATCTCAAGTGCATTCGTCAGTGCTGGCTCTAAACCTACTTACATAAATCTTAAAACCATCTTTCCACTCCTCCAGATGTCATGTTCATGTCAGTCTGTGGAAAAAAAAAGAGGAAGATTAGGCCCACAGATTAAGGTACAACAAAATGATAATTACAAGATTTCTGGTCAGGACACAGATTGCAAGATGACAGCTTAATATTTAATCAAAGCGTCAAGATATTGTTGCCAAACCGAATAGACATTTTATTTCGTTGAAGTGAATTATTTTTTCATTGACCTTAAGGATAAATCATACACTTCTTGACACATGTTGAATGAAAAAAATACGTTTATAAGCTCATTAAAAATCAATGAATTATTCATAAATTAGAATGAAACTATGAGGACTTTCTTTAACCAGTTCCGTATAGGTGTTGAGTCAAAGAGGGTAAAAAGCCCAAACAATAACAACTGTGGGCAATAACCACTTAACAGCAAACAAAGATTGACAGCAGTGTGGTAATCCTTCTTAAGGGGATTACATCATTTTACTCAAAAGAGTTAAAACCCCTGAAACTATTTAGCCTTTCCTAATTACAGAAGGTGACCTTATCCTTTGTTTGCCCGAGGGGGGTCAGAGGCTAACTGAGCACTGATTTAATGAACAGCAAAAAGTTGTGACTTGAGGCCACTCCTCGGAAAGTTTTGACAGTAAGTACCCTGTATAAAAGTTCATTTATACAGCAAAACTTTTTTTTCAAAGATGCTCTCTTGTTTTGTGAGGAGCTCACGGCACACATACAAAGCACGAATCATGATAATAGGTTCTTAAACTGTATGTTGTCTGATTCAGTTTTACTGTTCAAATTTGGAAATAGCTGAATTTTAGGTTTCTATGTCATGAGCTCTATGCTCAGCTGCTGGTTAGCCTTGACGGCTGCATGCACACAGGCTGGATGGATCTTCTGCATCAGTGTAATAACCTTCAGAGTTCACAATATCAGCAATGAAGAGAGGACAGAAAACGTCTTGCCAGTTTCGTCAATCCAAACAACTTTACCAAATAGACATATCATGGCAATGACCAACTAACATACGAGTGAAGTTTTAAAAGAATAGGCTAGTTCAACATTTTGGGAACTTCTCTGTTTTGTTTCCTTGCTGAGAGTCAGATGAGAAGATTATTGCCACTCTCTGTCTGTATGAAGCTCCAGCCAGCAGCTGGTTAGTTTAGCTTGGCACAAAGACTGGAAATAGAGAGAAACGGCTAGCCTTGCTATATCCAAAGATTAAAAAATAAATATATAAATGTTTTCACCCCTCAAGCTCATTAATTAACACAACATACGTTATTAGTTTAATCCACACAAAAAGCAAAGTGTAAAAACAGCAATTTGTTGCTTTTCTTGGAGGACTATTTCTTGGCCGGGAGCAGTAACTTAGGTTTTGTAAAAGTAAAACAAACAAGATATAAAGTGTTAATTAACGAGCTTTGGAAGTGCTGGTAGGCACATTTTTGTAGCCTTCAGACCGAGCCAGGCAGGTTCCCTGTATTTCCAGTCTTATGCTGAGAGAGAGAGATGCATTAGAGTCAACCAAATGATAACACATCAGAAACAACAAAATCACAAAGCAAAATTGTTGGCTGCATCGTGGTGACTGTGCTTCCCATGCTTGTACCGCCTTGTACAGTACAATGTGCTTATGCGATATTGTGTAACATTATGGTCATTCCAATAAAGTATAATTTAATTTAATTGAAAGAGACAGAGAGAGAGAGAGAGAGAGAGAGCAGGCTGACAACCTTGGCTCTGCTGATCCTATTAGATGGTAATCTCTAGACTTCACAAATCCTCAGCCGTTTAAACGTGGGTTCATGTGAAACTCTAAATGTTGAGGATTCCTTCCTACCCCCCCATTCTGTCTAATCATCCGTAACAAGTATTTGGATAATGCCCAATTAAATTAAGACCTATTTCTTTATTCACTGCTTCAGCTCTGATTCATGTAGATAGGATTAATTGAAGTTGAGTTTTAATGTGTAATGGTTGTACGACAGGATTTCTGCGTCAATCCACTGAAAGTTTGAAATTTAAAAAAAAGATAATTGGACAAGATATGAGGTTTGAACATTTGTATTCGTGAAAAAGCTGAATATGACTGTTGATATGATGTGTAAGATGTTTCTTTGACATACTATTGTAAAAATGGCATGCCATTCCATACTATGATTTTTTTGTGACATTTCTATGTTATAGAACCACTTTTTTGCTGACTTTATTCGACATGCTATACAATATCCATTTCATATGCATATGACTTCTTTAAGACTTTTTTTGACATGCTCTATTATGATTGTATCAAGACTTTTTACATCATATTTAACTATGATTTGTTTTTTACTTTTTTCGACATACCATACTAATACTTTAAAAAAACTTTTTCCGATATACTATACTACGACTCATGACTTTTTTCGACATACTATTACCTTTTTTACTTTTTTCAACATACTATACTATGCATTTTTATGAGTTTTCTGCTATACTATGACTTTTTCGACATGCTACACTATGACACTTTTATAACTTACTATACGATGACTTATTTTTTTTCGAAATACTATACCATGACTTTTTTTGACATACTACACTATGACATACAATACTGTGACTTTTTTTTAAACTTTTTTCAACATACTATGACTTTTTTCGACTTGCTATACTGACACATTTTTACGTCTTTCTTTCGACATGCACTACTATGACTTTTGTTGACATACAACACTTTTTATGTTAAACAGGCGTTTCAAAGAGATGGTTGGTTTCGAACCCCGGATTCTGAGCCAGTATCTGATTATGAGGCATATGTTCTACTAGGTGAGCTAATCACCTGGGTGAATTGGAGGATGAATAACTATAGTCTCACTATCATAGTATGACTATATTTGACACAGAATATTATGATTTCAGGCTCAACAGCTTTTATTACACTTAAAATGTGTATATGAGGGAAATCAAAGTAAATCGACATGTCTGCTTTGTAATAACACCAAAAGAAAAAAAATCTAAATGTCATAGCTAATTCAAAGATCACATACCAACCACATAACCAACAGAACAAAAGGAACGTTTAAACACTCACACAGGATGGAATGTTTAACTTACATAAGTTTTTTGGGGGGGATCTTGTATAACTGAGTCTTGGTACATCGTTATTCATTTCACTGAAAATCACGCCTTTAGAGACTTAGCTGATTCAATTAACAACAAACAAAGAAAGAATGAACATAATATCACAGATAATCCTTATCTTTTAAATGTATTGTGGCTTGTGACTGGGAACAATCCCTTGACCGATCTTAAGGAAACGGTCATGGGGGCAGATGGGGTATCATGGTTGTAATTTAAAGTATTTTCAGTTTATTGCAAAGATAAGTTTTTAATTATTATCAATTTAGTAACAAGCTAGCAGGGAAACGTGTACAGTATATCCTTCAGTAGATGCAGAGTGGTAGCCGAAGTGAAATAACACACCTTTTTATATTACACAGAGATGCTTTGCCTTTCTAGTGAATACTTCGTAGGAGGTTGTAACTGAATCCCAGACGTATTAACACTGCTCAGTCTGCAAATTCCCAGAAAGTGTTGACATTTATTTTCTTGTGTTCTTCTCTTCCTCTTCTTCATCATTTAAACACAGAAGATCCGCTCCGACTGTTCACATGACGGAGCACTTCTCCTCTGCTTTGGTCTTCAGCTCGGTGACGGTGGCCGAGGCCTTTTCCTTCAGCTGGTCCATGTCCATGTTCTGCAAGTTTTGAAACTGGCCCATGATGGAGTCCTTGCCCTCCTCCTCCGTGGCGTCCTCATCCACCATCTTGAGCAGCTCCTCAGGCACGTCCACGTCGTCCCCGGCTATCTCGATCATGTTCTCATCCTGCTCACTCTGCAGACGACAACATCGGGGAGAAAACACGGTCAGGACCCGGAAACGCAGACATTTCACCGATTTTACACTCGGGGTGATTTTTGATATTGAGGATAAGAAAGTCTGTTTTGTCACCAATAAAGTACCACAGTGGTCCTCATTGGGTATGCAATTGAAAGCTCTCTCTCTCTATCCTCCAAATATGGTTGTTCATTCCAAAATATTGAAATGAAACAAGTCACAACATTTTCTTTTTGAGTCATACATAAACATTCTTTCTTTTCTCTGTAACAGTAATAGATTAGTTAAAATATTTATCCCTAATAACAGGTTCTTATATGCACTCTTTGTAAGTAAAAATTAGGGAGGCCATATTTACGTTTCCCCGATTATAACAAAGACTGTATATTTATGGCATTGAATTATTATTTGGAGAAGAAGAAAGTCTGACTTAAAGACTTTTTACAGGATTACTATGCTGTCTGCTTGCCTTATTTAAAAAAGACAAGATATATATCTTTGTCCTTTTACACTCTTATCTGACAAACACGCATATATCGACCACAGTGTATCAGACATAGGATGAACTAAACATAAAACTCATTTGTTGACCAATTTTATGAATTATATTGTCCTCCTATGAACTTTAGTTCGAATGTAACACATAAGCACTTTAAAATACTACAATACATTGGTCTGTATTTGAATACAAATGCAGACCAAGAATATCAGCGAGCAATCAGGCCAGACTGTAGGATCTGTCTTAATCCACATTCAAGTACCTGCACTCGAGGATATTCTGCTGTCTGTGTTTTCTACATTCTGTGATGAAGATTCAAGTCTCCTTTGACTTCACTTACAAGTGGCTTTTGCGTCATAGAAATGCTATATTTAAAGCCTTTCCAACAAACTCAATCTAATCACTTAATATCTGGAAGAGTCATGCAATAGGCAGGGTACTGGGACTACTCTAAACGTCAATCTGTGGGATTATCTCAGTCCTGCTTTAGCCTTTCCTCTCGAATCCCAACGATAGTCTAAAGATATCTTCTATAGCGTTGCACGAGACTCTAATTCCATTAGACTAACAGCAACAACTTCATGTTTCTCCTCGTAGTGTACAATTGTACCATTATTATTTATTCTAACTTACTCTTGATAGCATGTCGGTGTGTTCTCAACCTCCCACCCCTTAAATGAAAAGAATCAACCGAACAGGATCCCTTTAGGTGCCTTATTGTTGATGAAAACCCATCGAAAATGCATATTCCAGTTCCATTAAAGACCCTTTGTCATTTGTTCTTTCAAACTGGCATGTATTGTAAACATTATTGAGAAATAATTAGATTTATGTGTATGACCTCCGGCAATTGTCCCCATAAGAAATGTGTGGTTTCAATTTAAAAGACAAAGAATAAAAAGAAATGCACTCATTGTTTAAACCAGAAAGCTGAACAATAGCGTCTGGTGCGTTGCACTATAAGAGACGCCTCCAGCAGCCAAGGTCATCACTGCATTCAGATGAATAAAAATCATTAGTATTAGAAAAGCTGTATTGGAAATTTATTTTGCTCTTTTGCCACAAAGACGTACAGTTCTTCACAATCAAGTTTTCACCTCTCGATTAGTTTACAAGATTAGAAGACACTCTACCCGTATTTACCTTTTTAGATGGCTTAAAGAATCCCCACATACCTTATTTGCTCCTTCCATCACCGCTTATTTTTCTTTAATAGTCCTTTAAAATTGTGCAGTTGCGCAGTTTACATCCACTAAAGTAGGTGTTATTCTTTCTTAAAGCCAGTTCCCACTGCCCAACGCTCCCTAATGAGCCTGGGACACCTGCTCAGCAGCATTTAGCTTTGTAAGACTCAAGGTGCAACATGGGACACATAGGCTAACGTCTTCCAGGACGTGAGTTGAACGTCTTTCCCACTAATCTACTGGCATGGCTTCCACCTCCTGTCGTCCAAGCTGCAGCTGCCAAGGGGCTGCTGTTAGATAAAGATAACCTCAACCACAAAGCATCTATTTCTTGCTCTACCTGCGCAGGCAGGACACCTAGCTCAGTCACCAAATCATGCTTTTTCACACGACCGCTGGACAGTAAAGACATTTAATACACATTTATTAAACGACTGAGAAAAGGAGTTATATAATCTGATGAACAAAAACAACTAGTTGATACAGAAACCTCATAATAAGTGATAAGCAATTAGTAATACTATACGTCTATAACAAACTCTATAGTCGTAAGCAGACTCGTGGAGGCTGCTGTACAAACAGATAATGAATGACAATATAGTACATTTGTAATAATATAAAACATGTCTTCATAGGATAAGTTATAATTGTTACTTACAAATATCCTTCTATCTGCCGACAACTACTTTGTAGTGTGTGTGGATGTGTGTGTGTGTGTGTCAATATTTATAGTAATATAAGTCACACAAGAACTGTAGGAATAAAAGGTATTTACCTTTGGCAGCCTGTATTTTTCTCTGAGGCACACCCTCAATGTTGCCCTTTCTGCCTTCTTGTGTAAGAAATCGGCATCTCTCTCCATCCTGACATGAAAAAATACAAATATTATTAACACAGTAACCTTTATTGTTGGCCTCGAGAACATCCCAGGTTGGTTTAATGTACGAATATTATTTATTTAATTTACAATATTTAATTTGTTTTTTCTGGAAAACACAAAGGAGGGAAGCTGCAAGAAAGTACCAGCTAGGTGGAATTGTATGACCTTGTGCCGTCATCAGCGTGCCAATGGATCAAGAGCAGCACAATAAGCATTTTGATTTTCATGAAAAATATTTTCCTTCAGTCTGTTTTTGTTCATGCACACACATCGGCTCAATCAGATAAATAACAGAGACAATTCAGCTCAACACAAAGGCCATGTTTTGTTTGGCAACGGTTATTTGCAGTTTTGGAAAGAGAATAACAAAATATGACATCTGTAATGTGTGCACGTTAATTTTTCCTTAGTAATTGAATTAGTGACTCTAAGTTAACTTCCTTTAGATTCGTAGAATAAAAGATAAACTCTGTTATGTTACCCGTTGAATTAAATGTTGTTGTGACATCAGTGTTAGCAACGTTTATAGAAAATATCAGTGATTCTATTTTTAATCTTTGAATCAATTTATCAAAGCAAATATGTATCTTCTACCTTAAATCTTGAACCTGCGTATTTCTGTATTTTCAAGGCGAGACTTGCGTACTTTCCCTCAGCTAATTAAAGATGAGGATTATTAGGCCAGACTGACACAAGCAGATTTGAAATCAAGCCAAGACGCCACAACTCGAACTGTAGTGAAACAAAAACACAGCGGACAGGGGTTTCTAACCAACTATACGTTTGACGAAACGCTTGTTCTCTTCGACACATTTTACAGATATTTATACAATATTTTAGAAGAGCTTTCATGTTCTGCCATTTTAATTAAACATTTGTATGGTTCAGAATGTGGTCGTTTTCCAAACATAAGAGCGGTGAGGCAGGATTAATCTGGTTATGTAACACAGGATCTGCTTGATGCTGCAAAATTTACTCCGTCTCACAAAAGTCCAAATTTTTAAAGAAAATATTACTAACCCTATTTCTTCAAAATGTAATCAAGGACTGATTAATCATAATGTTGCTGAGCGTATATTCGTACACACAGGAGAGCAACATGGTGGTGAACAAAACCAAACTACCGGCTCAAATTTACTCTTAAAAGTCTATCAAAATAAATTTGAAAGATAATCTAAAAGGAATAACATAAGAGTGATGGGAAAATGCTTTTAAAAACAGCTTTTGATGTGAACAACGTGGACCACCTCCGACGAAGATCCAAATAAAATAGATAAATAAATATAATTTTGCAGGACTGTGATTGCTTTCCCTTGCTGCACCACCACAGAATCTCCTCAAAGGATTTTTTGTTTTATATATATATATTATTGTAATTTCTTTTGCCCATAACTTCATGTTTTCGAGCTGCAAATCATTGCAAACTGCCATTTTATAATTGCTTACTTTTTTAAAACTAGAAAGAACCTCAAAATGTCCCCCCCCCCCCCCCAACTGTTTCTTGATGCAGAAACAGATGACCCTGCAGAAAGGCACGACCATTGGCCCCAGTGGGTTATTATGTAGAACAAAAAAAATCCACCTCTGCTGTGACCTTCAGCAACAGATGCATCTCTCAAAAATACAGCTTGCTCATTGTAAACAATAAATTGATGACTGTTTACATTTAGTTAGGGTTTGGCTAAACAAATATGGAAGTGCAAAAGAGCGGAAAGTGGAGGGGAGTAGGAAACAGCTCGTCAAGGTCAGATTGTACATTCTGCAGCCATGCTGCTTTCTGTGGGACAATGGCATCAATTCAAAATGGAGCACTGTCCAAGTTACTACTTACTTCTCCTCCACCACTTGTTTTTGGTACTCTTCATACTCCTCGCGTGTCATCCCTGCTGCTTTGGCTGGATCTGTGGGGGCGGCCTCCTCTTCCTTGTCACCTCCACCACCGAGACCGATCCCCGACAGGGGGTTCCCAATCATGCTCTTGATCAAGAAAGCCATCTTGAGTTGTTGTCGTCGTGTGACTGTTCACTCTGCGAGGGTGTGCGAATATTTTTAAAAGGTGAAAGTGATGCTGCTCCCCTTATGGCGCCCACCGGTTCGGTTTCCTATAGCTGTCAAATCCAGTGGTAGCTCTCGAGCTAACCTGCTGCTTGTCTATGGAACCAAGGACATACTGACGACAAGCAACAGACACACACACACACACACACACACACAACGGCCATAATCTGGATTTAATCCTCCCTGCTCCACTATGCTAAGAGGCAGATGGCCTGTTTTCTCTCTATTTTTAAATCATGCAGACCTTTGTAGATCTTTCTTTTTATTAATTCTGACATTTAGTACATTCTTTTGAAGGTGCAGCGCTCATCATGAAAATGTTTTTTGGCGATGGCCGTCCTCAGTTTGGTACCACACATATTCTGCTTCCGCCCACTAGTGCTTAATCATATTAGTAAAGTACTGACTGGCCCGTGTGCAGATTATGCTGCTGAGACCAAGCAGGGTATAGAGAGAGAGAGAGAGGAGCAGGATTACAGCCTTGTTTATCCCCCCACTGGGGCCATCGTTAATGCCGTGCTATTGTTCAGTGGGAGAATGATTGACAGGAGGATGAGAGATGGTGAGGAGACGTTTCACCTTATCGTCGCATCGCTATCTGCGAGCTCTGGTGAAGAACTTGTAGGTTAACCTGATATTTTTGAGCACTCAAACATTTCAGAAATGCTCATCTGCAGCCAAATATGTCATGTAATATCTTTAGCCCCAGACATTGTTTTTGCCACTTGTCGGCCTCTTTGACAGTGAAATGCATGATTTCATTAAACATATACTCCATTGACTATACTGACTCAAACACGATTAGATTGGATTTTCAAAACATATCGTAGGCTACAAACATTTCCTTTACCCTCAGGACACATCATAATAAGTTTGGTGATCAATATTTGAATGTGTCCAATTTTTGGGGTTTATACTACAAATACCTGCAAAACTAACGACTCATCAGCCTCAGCTGTACTTTGTGTTTACTGCTAATTAGTACATGTTCGCATTCCAACACTCTACGTTAAGATGGTGATCATGGTCAACATTATATCCCCGAAACATTGGCAAGTCAACAGTCAGTGCCGAAATGCACAATGTACATTGTACTTAGGTACTTATACTTTACGTATTTTCTTTTCATGCCACATTCTACTTCTACCCCACAACATTTCAGAGGGAACTTTTTAACATTTTTTTTACTTCATTACAACTATTGGACAGCTTTAGTTAGTAAGAAAATTGCATACAACATGAGCAAAATTAAGAACTTCTAAATTGTCATTTTTCATGGAAAAAATCTTTCTGCAGCTAGTATTTTTATTTTGAATACTTTAAAGTACATTTACCGAATTATACTTACTTTTCTTCAGTAACATTTTCAATGCAGGACTTTTACTTATAACAGAGTATTCTTACAGTGTGGTATTAGTAGTGAATACTTCCTCCACCACCGTTAGCACCACTATGTGTCTTTGCTCAGCTTCAGAGCTGTAAGTATGGCTGTAGACTCTTGGACTTGTGTGTATAGATACAGCGGACGTGAAAGTGGCACAGAGAGAGCTATGTGTCGATAGACGGGAGCTTTAGTGTCAATATGACAGCAACACTCTAAAAACTGTTTATAAATGCTTCATAATCATTATAAGTGGTTTATAATACACCATAAAACAGTAAAATGTAGTAAGCAGATATAAGGGAATTTAAGTGTATGTATTTATCAACAATCTTTAACTGTTGTATAAACTGTTAATGAATGTGTTATACTGTAACACACTGCAAACATTTCTTCAATTGTGTAATTGCAAACTGTTTATTCAGGAATACCAATTAAAAATGTATGTAGTGAAAAAATATGAGGTTACAAATGTCCCTGTAACTACATAGTGTTTTACGATAGGTGTTTATATACGGCTTATAAAAATCAGTAGGCGGTACAAAGTTCTACTGATAACGTGTTGCTTGTTACATGTCTTTTGACTTTACTCTGAGATGAACGGTTACACATCTATGTCCTGAAGGTGCTAACTGGAATAAAGTGTTATGAGAGATCAACAGCTGAGAGTTAATGCAGATGAAAAGTATCTGACGTGATGAAATAAGCAGACACCACAGAGTGATTTGGGTTTTCTGTTTATGTAAATTGTTCATGTCGGGTATACGTCAGATTCTGACACGTTTGACTCGATCAAAGCAGGTAAACGGAAGCAGCGATCTGCTCTGAGTTTTCGTCACTAATAGTTCAATATTTTATACAAAATTGCACATTTCAAAACACAGGTTTTTTTAGTTTTCATCAGCTCAGTTTCATGAAATGGGATGATTTTGACTTTTGAAAACAAACTCAAAAAGGAACCGACCATCCAAAAATACTGCAAGGAAAATGTTACATCTTGTTGGAAATCCACAGGTCTCACAAGAGAATTCATACGCAACACTTTACTGATCAAATTAAAACAAATTATTTTCAAGTACAATAATTTACAATCTGAAAATAATCAAAACAAATTACCAAAATGGACATTTCCTCATTTACACGCTTTCTTTTCATAAATGTATTTCATCAAAAGAACTTCTTTGCTGCTGCTTCTTGTTGACTTCTGCAAGAGAAAAGGAGACACACACAAAGCGTTACAGACAGTGGAGGAAGAAGTACTCAGAGCTTTGATTTTAAAGCTTCTTCAGCAACACCACAATGTAGAAATACTCTCTAGAAGTACAGAAGTATTAGCATCAAAATATACTTAAAGTACCAAAGTAAAATAACCTGAATCCACAAAGTTACTAGTAACTAAAGTTATTAAATAAATGTAGTGTACGTTAAGTACAAGTACCTCAAATTTGTACTTTAAGGGAAAATTTGCAGATTTCCAACCACATCTCTATCTATCGGAGTTAAGGAGATAGTGTGAGAAACGCTCGCAGTTCTTGCCGATGTTCTGCAAAATCTGTTGAAAACTTGTCCTTCCTGTATCCAGGGATGAGGCGGCGACATGCTTGGTGGTAACAAAGAACTACGAGCTATTTCAGCTTGGATTTACCGTCTCCATCGACATTAGCATCTCTAAATTAAAATAAATGACGTCTTACTTGTACATGACGTAGCAGAAGAACAGGACCGACTGGACGACGATGAAGATCACAAAATGAAGAGTTGATAAGCAGGTCGGCATGGGCGGCACATCGGGGCACTTCATGATCTTCTCAGCTGGATTCTGTGGGTGAAGACATACAAATAACAACATGGCTCTATTCTACACACTGCTCCATGCGAGGCTCCGCACTGTGCTCCATACCTGAGCATTACGCTGCACCAGGTGCTCCACGTCCCTTTTGACCATGTGCAGGTGTTCCTTGATGTCGTTGAAGTGCTGAATGGTCTCGTAGGTTCCTATTCCGCCTGCGTTACCCTGGTGTTGGGTCGAGCCGATCTGTTTCAGTGACTCAGTAAAGGAGTTTCTGCAGGGACAAAGAAAAGACGCGCTAAGTCTCCGCAAAAGCCAAAAACATTAATACTGCAGCTGCTTCCCCCCAAAGCCTTTTTAATACCAAATAAATATCTCTGAAATATAGTCAAAATGTTTACTTTTGTCAATTTCAGTCTATGTTGGTGAAACATGATGCCCAGTAAATACGCTGTGTGGTATCATTTATTTACAGTGATACAAATTGTCCAAAATTAATCTCTTAATCCAGATTCACTGGAGGCTACATATTGTCAAAGTTTGAAAAACAGAAAATTACCATCTGATAAAAGAGGTCATGATTGCTGAATTAATCCCTTATCACAACATGTTCTTACAACAGATTACAAGTACGGGAGGTTAAGAAACAGCCTATCTGGAATCCAGAGTCTAGTCATCATGCTAAAGAAATGAAAAAAAATAGTGATTGAAAAAAAAGGAAAATGAAGTGGAAACAAAAAAACGATGTCATCGGAAGCGTATTGTCCCGTTTCTTTGGGAAGAAGCTGGAAGTCTTTCCAAACTGAGAAAGGCAGAGAAAATGTTTTGAATAACAAAATAATAATTAATAAATAAATAAATAATAATAAAATGTTTGGTTTCCTCGAGTGAGACAACCACAGGCTCAGTAACTTAATGTCCACAATGGGGGAAAAACATGTCAGTTTTTGTCTGTGTCTAAATTTCTAGAAAGACGTTTCCTCTTTGTGTCTCTGTGATGAAACCTACTGATGCATTGAACCCAAAGTATCTGCAACTTCCACGCACCAACGCTGAAGCATTACCAGTATTAGTAAACCTAATATAAATACAGTTTAGTATACGTTTCTCAAATTTTGGCTAGTCGGCTCTGAAAAAAGGTAAAAGAAAAATCCCACCAGCATCTCTAAAATGCACATATTAATATTTAATATATAAAGTGTTTAAACGTGCAAAAACCTGCGTAATAAATAATACGTGCCATTTCTTGGTCGGGCAACAACCGGGAATTCATAATTCAATAACTCAGAGGGTTAAAAGTCAACACTAATGTCTGCTAATGGTGTTATGTGTCTAATATTTGGTGATGTCAGTCACCCTCAAAACTAGATCAGATAAAATACACACATTTTAAAAACCATTACTCTCATGGCTCACCAATTATAAAATGTAAAATCTGTATCCTTCACTTTCAATTCCCTCAGTGAATGAAATAGAATCAACACATCTTAAGCCTGGATCATATTTCTCCCCAAAATGAAATTTCTTAAAGTTGATTACTTACAAGGAGAAAGCAATAAGTTTCCCTTATCATCTTAAACACATCTAAGACGATTATGAAGGAAATAAAAAAGTGACAAATGAAAGTAAGTCCGAAGGCCCCCCCGAGTAGAGGATTGTGACAAGAAATCAATTGGCGGTAAAAGCGTGTTTTGCTCGTGTACGACAGATGTATTTAAAGACGACTAATCTGATAAGGACAAAACGGTGCTAAGACGGTGGCCTTTTCTTGCTCGGCCACATGGCTGCGGTCTGAAAGGATGGACAGGGATGACACACAAACAAAATCTAATTTGCTTCACAGAGAGGGCAAAACAAAAATCTCCCTTGAGAAAGTAAGTGAGCATTTATTAAAGCCTAACATCTAATCTTCATCTGCCACAAGTGACCCATTTATGAGCAGAAAGCCCTCCTTGGGAGTCTGAGATGAAGTCCTATCATAAACTCTGTGTTTAAAAGATGGGCCAGGATAAACTGAGAGCTTAATCTACAAAGTAATACAGATCAGTTGCTCACATTAGCACATTAGAGGGAGCAGCTGCAGCCTTTTGCCAGCGTCTCAATTTATATTCAGTGTCAATCATCTTAATCCCGTGCACCTCCGATCGTGTGCTTTCTTTAAATGGAACCACGACAGAAACTGTCTTTTCCTGCTGTTTAAACAACATAATTCACTTGGGTGTGATTCGCAAATGAGACATGTTGGGAGTGAGAGTCTGGGTGCCATGTGAGTTATGGGTCAACAATATAATAAAGAAAAGCATGTATTTGAGGATGAATGTCCTGTTGGATTTAGGGCATATAAACAGCTTGGTTCTTTTATGATACACGAGACGAAGAGATTAATGTTACATAAAATAAAATCTTTAATATCTTGCGATTCTGATTAATTCTTAATGCAGATGGTGTGTCGAAATTAAGACACTATGAAACTGCAGCCACAGGACAAACATGTCCTTTTTGAATAAATAAAACAACATTTCTTTGTTGAAGAACTAAAGACGATTAACAGCTGAACATCCAAAAGGTTGACTAGAAATAAGCAGACTAGTTGGATCAACTTAATTATTGGTGAAATGGAGTAAAACACACACAAATTTATGAGAAGGGTTTTGAAGAGGACATTGTTTTTAAATCGGTTGCGTGCTCACAATGACTAAGCCTACAAGCACCTTAGGCAAGCAATACAAAAGCACAAGATACAAGCTCCAAACATCAATACATCACATTCTGAACACCTAATCAGGCTTACTTACTATAAGTACCAAAATCAAATGGTCAAGGAAGGCACACCATCATAAAATCTATTCTAAGCTGTATTATCCTGGCATTAAAAACCTGTTCAGGCTCTCACCCGAGAGTGGGAAGACGACTGTCAATATAATTAATAACGGAGAAGATTACAGCTGGATATTACTAGATCATGCTGTACGTCTCGGCAATGATATCATTGTTATTCACGGTGAGGATATCAAAAATTTGTTTTCTTTACTTACTTTCTTTATTATATATATTTTTTGTAGCAACACTAATGTGCTTGTCGGTCCTCATTATTGTGTATTTTCGTTGCGTTCCAGTTTGCTTGTTTCACCGCTGGTTTGTGCGTAACGCGTGTTTTTGTTCCGGGTCAAGCGGGGCTGGTGTAAAAATACATGTCCTTGTACCTTGATGGCACATTATAAAAGGTATTTGTATTTGATACAAATGTTGTATAATCCTGCAAAACCCGATAAAAAAAGGTTTTAAAAGAAAATGACCAAAATCTTTAAGGAAGTCCTGTTTTTAAAACAGGTGTAAATTATGCAACTTCTTAACGATGCAATTAATGTTTTTTTTTTTTTTTACTATACCACAACAAATGAGTAAAACGGTTTAGAGCCAAGACCAAGGCAGTGTGACGATTATCCCATTCAGCACTGAAGCTTCTAGCGCGTCTTTGTGTGGGAACGTGCATGCGACTGACTTACTGCACTTGGATTATCCGGCTGGAAGACACCTGTGATGTTGCAACCACTGCATCCTGAGATTAAATATGATTTATGGGACTTAACTGCCAGGATTTCCCTTGTTTTTCATGCTCGTACAACAGATCTCTCTTCGTGTTTGTTGCAAAAACAACAGCTAGATTTCAGGCTGACCGACCGTCAACAACAATGACACTGTTGTTACTTACCTCAGCTCGTTCAGATTTTTGAGAACCTCCTGCTGGGTGGTTATGACGGAGCCCAACTGTTGTTGGCCTGCAGTATCCAGCTAGAAGAGAAAGACAACACAAAGAAAACACAGGTTAAACAAAGAAAAGGTTATTAGTCTTGATAACCTGTTAACAGTTAAATAAACAGGTTTCTTTACGTGTTAATAATCAGTTTGAGCACGCATTTTAAAATCAATTAACTGACTCTAAGCCACCAACTATCATTCAGACGGCTACGTTAACAATAAAAAGTGAAACTCTAAATCATTCATAAATCCTGTTCACTTTGTTAACTAAAACTATGACAAAATATGCTCATCTTTTCTTCCATGACTGAGACGAGACGATGACGAGACGGCATTAACTTTCTTTAAACACGAAGGATATCAAATAAATATAATCTGATGTAAAAGGACATGGACACATCAAAAAACACTGGACAGAAAGAAGAGAGAAAATAATCTGACTAAAAGTATTGACTGAAACATTTTGAGTTCTAAAACTAGAATAAAACTATGAAGGATAAAACGTGACTAAATCTAAAATAGCCTCCACTGGTACCGCTGCTGCGTATTGTGTGAACCCATCTGTCGGCATTGACACGCTCACCTGTGCCGACTCGGCGTTCGTCCCCTTCTTGGCGACCTCGTCAGTGAGGACGTTGACGTATCGGCGCTGCTCGTCCAGGATCATAGCGAGCTGCCGGTTGAGCTGTTTGATCTCCAGGTGGATCTGGTTCTGGCCCTCAAACACCTGACGGATCTCCCGGTCATTCACGGTCTCGTAGATGTCCTCAACTGAAGGACGCAAAGATTTAAACCAATTAAAGTCAAATCTACAAACATTTATTCAGGTAACTTATGTCTCTTTGAATGTTTCATGATTTATATCTTCCAAACAATTTATCTTGACTTGTTCAGATTATATAAAACAGATAAAGAGTTAAAAATAACAACTTTATGTTTGTGTTTATGATCACTTTAGGATTTGATTTCGGAGAACTAACTTGGCTCTCCTTGGACGTCTGGGTGCTCTTTCTGAAACTCCTCTTTCTTTTTGTCGAGCTCTTGCTGGAAGTTCTGAAATTCCTCCTGGTACTTGTCCTTCTCTTCTTTAGGAATCTCAGATTCAGGTGGGGGCTTCAGCGGGAGAGACAAAAAAAACCCTCAATAGAGGCTGTGCTTAGGCTACTTGTGCACATACAAGCATGCGCACACAGACACACAGCTACAGAAAAGCACACACAGGATTGTGAAAGTATTAGGAGCTCTAGGAAAATGTAGTTACCGGTTGCTGGCCCGGCTCCGAGAGTCTGAACAACAAGAAGGACAAAACATCGTGGTCATCTAATGGAGGAAAGAAATTCTGAATTACAAAAATCACAACTGAAACGAACACATTTTAAATCATGGTAGCACTTTACATCAGTGCACGGTAATAACAGGGTTACAAAGGGGTTATAATTGAGGGTAAAAAGAGTGAAACTGGGGTCATAGCATGGCAATCACAGAGTAACTTAATATCTTGATTATAACAATAGTAATATATTTTGTAATAGAGGAATGGCTGGTCAGAAACATGACAGTAATAGTAGGAAGAACATCTCGGTAGGGTACAAATTCTCATAAATAAAATTAATAACAGCGCATTTGTTTTATAAAAACATCAATAAAGGGGGAATACAAATTTGAAATCTTTTTAGAGAGTAATATTGGTGGTAGTGTTAAAATATACTGATGGAAAAGAAGATAAGAGAGAGGTAATAACAGAGTAATTAGCTCATAATAAAACTTATGGAACTAGAATCAGAAAATATAAATAAATATAAAAATATCCAAGAAATCATATTGAAATTTCTCTTTATTCAACAAAATGAAAATGCATAACTGCCTGTTTGTATGTATTTTATTGTCCTTATTTTAAATCTTACTGTAAACTAAACAGTCCTTACATGGAAACACATCACATCAGCCTCTCCACCTCTGTTCATTTAAGGTTTCTAAGTGTCTCAGAGGGGCAGTAGTTTCAATTAGGACTCAGAAATACTCAAAACTCTCATTTCACTCACAACTTTAAGGATTTTCAACACAGAGGTTTGAACAATACCTGCTAAACCACCGGTGGCAGCTGAAATGCCAAAGAAGCCTTCACCGGGGAGGACCATGTTGTCCACCTTTGTGCAGAACTCGTAGTCGTCTCTGTCAGGAGTGAAACCATTGTTGATCATCACCTGAGGAGGAAGACGGAACAATGACTACCACGGACTGTGCTGATCATCCGACATGTGTGATATAATAAGATCAGCGCCACTGGCTGAAAAGGGCTTTTATTCTCTTCATTTACACAGGAAATAACCAGCGCTCCGTGTGTTCCCCTACCGTCAGCGTCTTCTGGTAGTACGTTATTTTGGATCGGACAGGATAGGGTTTGTTGCGGAAGTCTCGTAAACATGTGCCGAGGGCTTGTGTGGTGCCGTCACTGGATCAAAACAACATTTTAAAAGACAAATTATATCGATTGCATTCGAGCACAGTAATCCACACAGAGACACGAGGTGGAGGTTATTAAATAAGTGAATAACATGAATGTATGTTTTTGTAAACAGTGTGAATTCTAAGATAAACTGAAATGGCATTGAAAAAATGATTTAAAGCTTTCACTGGCCCGGGGGAGATTAGGAAAAGATAGAGGATTATTTACTTTCCAAGCAAATATAATCATATTTCCTAATCTTCTTTAAGTTGTTAACATTTGAGTTGGTGAGGACATCTGAGGGAAAGCAAAATAAAAAGTGTTTACTTACTTTTGATGGTCATAAACAAGTTTGCCATTATTTCCCACAACAACTATAGCTGGGTTATTTTTCTGGAATGAAGATGGAAGAAAACAAGGAAACACATTAATCCTTTTTGTTCATCTGAAGACCAGACCTTTGCTTTTATGTAATCTTATCTTAAAATATTAATCCCATACCTGAAATATATCATATTCAAATGTCATCAGACCTTTGAAAACATTAGTTTTACACAAAAGTGATCTATTTATCCATCTACTTAGAAACATATCCAATTATAAAAAATAAAGACAAAACAAAAATTGTAAAGTATTTAAATGAACATGCATAATAAACAATAAACACTGACCTTTCCGTCGTTGTCGAAGGAGTCAAAGAAGATTCCGACTCCATTCCACTGGTCGGCGCCGCCGTACACCGGACCGTCGAGGCCTTGCTCCGAGGTGAACCACACAGCCTGACGGACAAAGAAAACGTGGTACAAATGTTCTTTTACAAAACTAAAGTCAGAGACGGTCTTTTGATTTGTGTCTTTGAGGTTTCTCTCCTAAATAAGTTACGTCAGGTGAATGTTGGAGTAAATATTACAGGTATATACATGCGTCTTAGTGCGGCTAAGGACTGATCTGACGCACTGATCTGCAAGTTTTTCCATATCGGATACGCAAAGTGTGACAGGCAAACAGTATGTTAAGGTAAAATCTCAGCTCTCACTACAGGTGATCTTAACTCCTCATATCAACACGTTGTAATGGTTGGATTATTCATCAATTATGAGGTGGAGTGAGGTTGTGGATTAAGTGTAAACTGCAGGGTAGTGCAGATTAGGATTGCGTCATTAAACCAGAAGCTCAACCAACACTTCCTCCGTTTGGGGAACATGTTTTTTAACTACTTTTCATTCATTGCTCATGCTGCATAAAACATAACAGTCCAAGCTAACTTTAGATTCATGGCGCTCGATGCTACAAATACAGTTTGGTCGGTAGTGTAAAAGTATTAATACGCAGCCCTAGTATAGCGGATAAGAGTATGTCAGGTGTGTCGCCCCTCCTCACCAAACCGTCCGCTCCCATCCGTCCTCTTCCAGATACTCTGAATGTCACCTCGGCCTCCCAGTTGTCAAAGTTGACTTTGTTTTTTGTCCACACGGAGCCCTTCTGACTCCTGAGGGACGGCGTGATGCGCACCTGGTCTGCACTGGGAATAGCATCTGGGATGGAGAGGAGAGAGGGACAGAATAAGCAGAGATATATTAGTAACATATGTTGGATGATTTCTATAGAAAACAATAAAGAAGTCATGTTCCGCGTGTGTGTGTGTGTGTGTGTCTCTTCCACTTGAGCTGATGTGACGACACTCATACCGTTATCACGAGTCAGCATTATCAGTGTATACTATACTCTATTTGTTTAACCAAGTGTGGAACATTGTTCTCAGCTTTGTCTGAACAATCTTACACCCATGCTACTCAAACATAAACTCTGCAAACTTACAATAGCGCATATATATATATATATATATATATATATATCCTCAAACGTCCCTGGTTTGAGGCTAGTCGCACACATTCTAGGCCACGTCTATCTGTCAATATAGAGGTGCTTCCTTGTCCCCACTATATTGTCCTATGAGAGACAATATCTCCAAATCTTCTTCATGTCATCATCTTTGACTGTGGAAAATGGTGGTGGAGCCAACATCATGAATCAGCAGACTGATAATGTCACGGCCTGATATCAAATGCTGATTTAAGGGGAATGTGTAATCTCATGCTGCTGCTTATTGAGTGCTCATATCAGCAAGTGGACAACTCAGCAGAGGCGATGCAAGAATCCAAAGGCCCATTTTGACGAGAGGAAAGTTCAACACTTTCTAGTTGCATGTGTCTACTGTGCACGGACTCTGATAGACAGTCAGCGCCTTTAACGTGCTGCCAGGACACAGTTTCAATCCGACACAAAAGCTAGGGGTGCTTAAATTAATGAATTCCCTGCTGCAGTTTTGAATGGACAAAGCAAACCCGCTGTCATTTCTGAAACATCCTTCGCGGAAACACGTCAGTTATAAACCAGCCAAACGTCACCGACCTCGAGTCATCTTCATACACACGAGTGTTTTAAACTCAAACAGCTAGACGACCAAGCGAGCTCTGTGGATGTTGACAGCTGGAAACTTACTTCCAGTGTGGATCCAAAACGGGACCCCGCCGTCGGGCTGAGACAGGTGCGGTCCTTTGAAGCTGTATTTGTACTCGAATCGGCGGTGAGGAAGCTCCCCTGACGTCGAGGCACCGGCGGCGACGTCAGCGACACTGCAGTGAAATATTATCGTTGTGAGAAAAGTTATTAACAACACACGACCGTTAGCAGTCGGGCGCTGTGCTATGGACACCGCCATGTTTCTGTATCACTGCTGACGTAGCGCAGAGACCACGAGCATGATGGGATGTCTGTAGAGCCAACAGGGCGGTTTCTGATTGGTTGAAAACATTTGTCTTTTTTCTCTCTTTTTCTTCTTCTTCTTCTTTTTTTGTAAAGTTACAACTGAGGTCGACAAGGTGGGCCTTCTGAACGTATGTCATGTTTGCAGCAAAAATAAATAACAATAGATAAATAAAATATAAATCCATGTTAATATAAATTAGGGTTGCAACATGATTAATCTGCCAATTATGTTTTGTCTGTAATATATAATTTACAGACAAAAAATATATATAATGTATATAATATATATATATATAATGGCAGACATTATATAAAATGCCAGACATTGTCCATCAAAATATCCCAAATTGCATTGGCATTTTTGTACATTGTCAAAAATGCTAATGTGAATGCATATACTAGCTAATTTTATTGTGAATATACTGACACTACTGCTAATGCTAATGCTAATACCAGTAGCCTTGTAAGACTGATGGTAATATGCTATTGCTAACTGTAGTACAAAAATATCGTAATAATAATACAAATGCTATTGTAACACTAATACTTTACTAATATTAATGCTAACACAAATGTTAATGTTAATGTGAATGCCAGTATTAGCTAATGTTATTCTGAATAGACTGACACTACTGCTAATGCTGATGCTAATACTAGTAGCCTTGTAAGACTGATGGTAATAAGCTATTGCTAACGGTAATACAAAAATATAATACGAATACAAATGCTATTGTAACACTAATACTTTGCTAATACTAATATTAATGCTAACACTAATGTTAATGCTATGTCAGAAAATAGTGAAAAAGGCTCATCATAATTTCCCAAAGCCCAAGGTGATACCATTACATTTCTTGTTTTATTTGAACAACTCTCTGAAGAAGAAAAGAACAGAGCTGCTTTTCCTACAATGACTGAAAATGTTTGTTGTGAAAAAGGCCTGTTGCAGAATTTGTGAGATGATTTTCACCACTAAAGTTAAATATCAACTTATGTTGGCTGTCCATAGTTACTTAGTTCTGTAGCCCAACATGTCTTAATCTAGTTTTAAAAGTTTAAATGGTTTAGTTTATACTGTGCTCACATGTTGCGTATTCATGACTGAAGTTGTGTTTAATCAAATAAACGAGTGGACACATGAAAAACCAAGGGGCCAGGCTGCAGCAAATGAATCCAGCCATAGTATACATAAATGTCACCCCAATTGCCCACAAATCTATGCTCTTGCAGTGATGATTGTGTGTAGCCTACATTATAAAAGAAACATAAAGTATCCAAAAATGCGCTTTCAAATTATGTAATTTACATTGAAATATGTTTAGTCCTGTATAGTACATGTGTATTTAAAAAACACACAAGCAACAAACTTCTCCGTTATGTCAAAATCCTAATAGAGGTTTTAGTCCTTTCAGCTGCAGGCTCGTCAGCCTGCATGAGGTCAGTGAAAGGTTAAGTGACCTAGCCGTGCTGGCTGCTGCTGGAGCTTTCACTGGTGTCTGAAAGCCTCAGTAGGAGATGGGAGATGACACAATTATGTGTCGCTCGCTTTCTATGTACTTTCAGCCCGCTTCTTCCTATTGCTTCTGGAGGTGCAGCATCACTTTCTGTGAGGGCCTATGATTACGGGTTCAGGAACGAACCCCAGAACAAAACAGGCCATTGTGGGGACACTAATCTAGAGACTTTGACTATTCTGGCAAATGATCAGTAAATGGCAAGGACTGACTTTCATCAGGTTCTATGCTGCAGTAATTACATGCAAAGAATACATTTTCTTTATAGTCATGCAACACAGGGATGTATTACTGTTTGCTTTTCACTAGTTAACCATTGAATCAGTTCTTCACCTTTTCAAAACCACTATTTTCACAAGTAGACAACGAATGTGGTTTCCAAACAGAAAGATTTTTACATAAATGTTGCCAATCCTCATCTTATTGGTGGACAAAACTCACAGGACCAGTCTTGTTTTTGGTTTGCGTCTTTGCTGAAACAGCATAAAATACATAATTTTCATAAATGTGTTGCCCTATAAAGAATGAAACACCTAACTAAGCAACACATATTTCCTCTTGAAGGAGTTATTGTCAAAGTTTAGTTGAGAGAAGTGGAATATTAAAATTCATTGCATGACAGAAAGGTTTAATCGCTGCTTCTTGTCAAGCTGTTTCCATGTAATGTTTTAAATTGAATGATTACGCATACAGTGACTGTACAGACATATTTATATATCAGAGGAACTTTGAGGTATGCAACTCTGAAAAGTAATATATAAGAAAAAGATTACCCTTAATCTGAATTAAGATGCAGTAAACAATGACAGCATGTATAGGAACATACAAAACAAATCTAATTGTAGTACATCAAATTATAAATAGGATGATTACTCTAATGTAAAATTTCAAGATTATGAAAAGTAACAGTTTTCAGTGGATTTAGAGAGCAGAGAAAATAGAGGCCTCTGTCCTTTGTCTGAGGATGTCCTCATTAGAGAGTTAAACCACACTCTTTGTAAGAAAATGTAGGATTTAAATAACAATAGCAATGCTAATGGTTCCATTTAGGGGTGGACAATGGGAACCTGTAGGATGTTAATGGGTCACAGACTGTGAATAGCCTATCACATGAGTCAGCACAAATATTTGGCCAGTGAATTATAGGATGCTGTAGTAAACGTATGTTGGGTTAAGAGTTTTCTGGAGCGTGGACTTTTAATGTTTCATTCATATTTGAAACATATACTGGGTCTGCATTTGATCAATCCATGGCTGCAATTAATGTAGTTTGATGTGGATAATTATTTTCTTTCATTTTGACCACAATAGCTCATATCTTAACATTTTCTTACCCCCTCTTGCCGTGTGTATTTTAAGCCATCGTTTGGATGAGTCATAATCTAGAGATCCTAAACTGGCCTAATCAGATAAAACAAATAACAGTTGTGTTGTGCATGGGGCTGCTTGTTCCTAGAGGATCTAAAGATGTTTGTGTTACCCATGTCACATTAGGGGGAAAGGGAGAGTGGCTCGTCCCCTCCTGGTGTGACACCACGGCTTAGTTAAATGAAGCCTGTTGCCTCATGGTGTTTATTCATACCTGAAAAGCACAAAGCAATCAATTATCACACGACAGCATGTTAAGGAAACGTCCTGTGGTTGAACGCGCTGTGCTCTTAAGTTTACCACCGTGATGCAAATCTGTACCTGGCCCTACAGGAGGACCTGGAGATCGTGATCTTTATGTTCAAATTACCATCTGGTTGAGCTTGATTTTCTTTCAGCATTCCTACAATGTCACATGTGTGCATCCAACAGGAGACACACGCTACATTTATTATAGATAAAACCAGATTTTGATCAGTATCCTTTCAAACTGATTTAATGATTACTCCTAATATAGACTGCTATTTGCTGGCTCAATTCTGCACATATAGGCTACATACTCCCCCTCAACAACGCAGAAGGACTAAACCTTTATTTCAGATTGCTTCAACACGGTCCAGTGTGGTCCAGCCTAGAGAGGGCACTTATTGTCCACTAAGGACTTTGGCACATTCATTTGAAGAGCAGCCCTTTCTCATTATTAACAGACACACTAAACGATGGGCCCCAAACAATACAGAACAGATCCCTTTATGCGCACAAGTGCTCACCGTTTCGGCAACCACTGTGTGCCCTCCACCACTCCCTCTTCTTTTCAGATACCTGCACATAAGTGAAAGATGTAGAGGACACAAAAGATATTCTCAACTTTCCTTTTCTCCCATTCTGTGAAACAGGCCCATTTTAAAGCTTTTATTTGTGCAAAGCCTCTCATTAACTCTGCTCATGCTGCCTCCCTCGGCTTGCTGTTGCTTAAGTACTGGGTGTTGTAAAAACGCTACCAATTAGTCTCTCATCAGCTCCAATTAGAGGAGACAAAGCCTGAGTAAAGATAACTCAATGAGCGGGAGAGGTGGAAGGGTGAGGGCTGTCTACGGTGTGTTTCATGTGCGTGTACATTTGTGTAGTCCGGGCCGGCATAACATAGTTTGTAATCATTGAAGAAGTTGTGGCCATTCAGTTTGACCCGCTGCAGCACAGGTCCATTCACTCTGCAGGCTCCTCAGTGGACCCTTTTCTCAGGGCCAAGTGTTGTTGTGCTGGGAAGACCGGCCCCCCAGGAGTCCCAGAAAGAGAGCCATTCAATCCTCTCTACCTGCTTGCAGCACATAAAGCACTTCAGGCCTGGCCGATCTCTCATTATTGTCTCCTTCACTCTCAATACTTCCTTAAACTTAGGCCCCAACAAGCGCAAGTCCTTTTAGAGGGGGAAATAGGGGATGTATGTTAAGGGGGTGCCTTTCACCTCATTAGAATTGAATTTGCACTGTCTTGTAATTACGTCGGAGGGCAACAATGTATTTTTCTCATCATAATCTTCGCTGAATGGGGGATTTTTGGGGCAGTTAATTTGCCGTGCACACTAATGCATTAATTAATAAATTGGGTAGCACTAATTTTCTCTATGCTGCCTCTCTCTCTGTTTCCTCTGTCGGTTTCCAACAGTTCTGGGCAGCCGCTACTAATAAAATTACCTCATTAAGGCCTTTATCGCAGCACAGTAACTCACTCATTCATTTGCTATCAAACATTTTCTTTGGAAAGGGGACCGAGGGTGTTCCCATTCAGTGTTGAATCTTTTTGTGGGTAGTTCTAAATAATGAGGGGGACAAGCAGGGAGATATAATTAGGAACAAGGGGGCACTTCAGCAAATATTGGAAATCTTTTAAGGCTTGCCCTTGTATGATGGCGATTAATTACTTCCAGAAGGGACTTTGGAGAAATATATTGCCAAGTTTTTTTCCCCGATCGAGATGCCTCAAGCTTGTTAAAAGGATGTGCACAGGATGTTCATTTCGGCTCCTCTTTAATTAAATGTGAATCATGACATGTACTGTTCTCTGAAAATGGGCTCATTGTGAAACAAATAAACACGTAAACAATGACGCAGAGTTTAATGAATGGCATCTGACTGTTTTGAAAGATTCCTTGGCGTGCACTGAGAGCAATGAACAAATGTGTTTTTGTTTGTGATATTGATAAAATGATGATAGGAATTGTACTACTATTGATAATTATGTTGAACCATTGTTCATTTTTGGTTAACAACGAACAGCAGTGATGTTTGAATGTCACGTTCAAATGTAATTCAACAGGTTACTCAGGCCAAGTCTATCAAATTAGTCTTTTTCAGTTGATGTCATAACTGGTGGCTGCCCATATTGTTGTCAAACTTTGAGAGGAATGATGCAAGTATTGTTGCATAACATCTAATTTCAGGCATTGAGTCCAAAAATAAACAAGAACACACACACACGTTACCTCCGCAGAGTGAACATCTCCACAAAGCTTTATTCATAATTGTGTTTCGATTATCTTCATGTGCTTCTCCGTGAACTACACTGCACAGTTTAATGAGTTGACTGAACACCGAGTGCTCTGCACCACACAAATGGGTGTAATCACACAGAGTCAATGATATGACTTAGAAAAGACTGGCACCTGGTGGACTTAGAGGGCTACTGAATGACCGTCGGGGCAGAGTGTATTGTGGGCAGTGGTGGAAGTAGTATTCAGATCATTTACTTAAGTAAAAGTATCAAAAGTAAATGAACATGTAAGCATTGTTTGAATATTGTAGGCTGTAGCACTCTGACGTGTTGCCTGCATACTGAAGGATGAGACACTGCAGAAGGAATTATATGAAAAGAAAATTGTGTGGATAGAGAGCACATTTTAAGGGGAATTATTGATGAGGAAAAAGCCCACAACTAGTTAATATTCTTGAGGCATGTTTTGTCTTTGTTACACATATGTCTACTCTAGTTACCTGGCTAATACATCAATGTCCCATTGAAACATCTGGTGTATTTATATCTAAATACATCTGGTGTATTTATATCTAAATACCAATACACTATTGATAGAATGAGTGGAGCCCAAAAACTTTGCAAAATGACAACATACCTTAAGTTTCCCGGTAAACCCGGACAGCCTCCACATCTATGGGAGTCACAGGAGCAGCACCATGGACAGCAGAGGACGCCACAGGCTGTGCTGCTCTATTGACATTTGGCTAAACATATTATCAGTGGTTGAAGAAGTTTTCAGATATTCCACTTAGAAAAAGTAGCAAAGAATACTCCTTTACAAGTTCAAGTCCTGCATTCAAATTCTTACTTAAGTTAAAGGATTATCAGCAAAGTGTACTTGATTAAATTAGGCAATGAAAAGATAAAAGAAAGGCTTATTATGCAGTAGATAATGGGTTAATAAAACACCTACATGAAACAAAGGTAATAAATAATAAGAATAAATGAGCTTTAGATGTTGAAATGTTTTAATTGAAAGACACGTGTAAAATAAAAATGATCATATACTCACTTGACAGATGTAGTAAACCACTTTATATTTTTGATGTACTTGGAAAGCAAGTAACAAACGCTTTAGACCAGCGCTGTCAAGCAGGACTGAAGGATCCTTGAGCGTGTTTTGAATAGTATTGCATGTTCTTGTAATAAATGAAAAATAAATATGACATCACCTTGTTTTGGTCTCGCTATCGGAGATTATACCGTCAACTTCTCTTCATCCAAATAAAGGACAGAGTGAGACGGGGATGGGAATGAGAGGCCAGGGTTGTCAAATTTTTACATATTCAAAGTTAAACATGCTTTTTTTTAAAGCATATATCAAAAAGTCAACAGTCTTTAACTTAATTAGAAACACTACTACTTCTTTACACCCCCTATTTAGCACTTACAATACATTTTATAATAATTTCATGAATTGTTTATAGGACACTAATTTGCGAATGCATTTGTCAACAATTACAACGTCTCCTTTGGGCACCAGTAAGTGGCCGGTGTATAGTTGGCTGGTGTGTAGGTAATGGCAACATTGTAAAACACAGTTGTGTAATAATATAAAATTTGTCTTCACAGGATAAGTTAAAATCACTGGCAAATACTGAATACTAACACTTAATTGTCCTTATATCTGCTTATAAATGCATTATAGGGTGTTAAAATCCATCAATTGAATATTATACTGTTTATAAATGCAAAAAAAAGGGACTTTAAGACAATAAAAAAAAACACCAAACATGCACTTTTTCCTGTACAAAAGAAAAAGCATGCATTTCAGATGCAAGATGAGCTGCTGTATAATAATTTACAGTTATGATGCGAGTTTGCTCATCAAAGTAATTTTCCTGACCGAGTGAACACTTTTTTAAGTGGCTTTGAGAATGTCTCCCTCTGGTGGAGAACTGTCAACTATTATCCACACAGCCATCCAAAGTCTTTCTTTACCTACATGTATGTAGATAATAGTTCAATGTTTACGTCTTTGTTAGGCTTTTTTCTCCTTGTTTTTAGCTGCATGTCTATTTCTGTGCAAGTACATTGACAGCAACGAAATACCCGCATTCCTTATATGTGTACACAGAATTGGCCGACAAATCTGATCTGGATTGTAAAATGAACCGTAGACACAAAGAAATGAGAGTATTATTTTCCATAGTCTTGTAATTGTTACTACTTTGCTGCCACAGCAACTAAAAACTACAGTGATGTGTCTTATAAATGAGGATGAACGGCATTTAAATCACAGTTCAACATTCATGCTGTTTTAATCCCTCTTGTGAATTTATGTAGGATTGATTCATCAATTTGGTATTTGGTGGCTTCCTCTCTGGTACAATTTGTGTGAAACAGAATAATATACTGTTATTAAGTAAAGAGTTAAAAAGCTGCTTTCATGAGAGACTTGTTTAATGTGCCACGAAGGAACCATATGTTTATGAAAATATAGAATTAAAAAAACGTGCATTTTCAAAAATGAACACAAACTCGTATATCATACAAAAATAAACATCTGTGAACGACAGGCATATAGTACATTTTGTTTAAATAAGAAAAGTGAACCCCTTCAATATTTACACCTGACAGTAAGTATTTAAACCCACCCCCTTAAATATTCCAGTCAAAGTCTGTTCTCTCTCGCGCTGGTTTCCTCTTCCTGTTCCTCTTGGATCCTCCGCCTGTCTGAGGTGGAGGTTCCCTATGGTGCTCACCTGAGCCTGTATCCAGACTGTCCTGGTCGTCCCGCCAGCTGTCAGGGACCGCAGGAAAGTCCCCTGGCGAGTGCATCGGTCGACCGTACACCTGGCTCTGCAGGTCAGCGATGTCGTTCCGGATGTCTGCCATCAGCAGAAGCAGGAAGTCAAAGGAGCCTGGAGGGCCCTGGGGGGGAGGGGGGAGGGGGGGTCGAGTAAAAAACAAAAAACTGTAATTATTTATCAAATATTCAGTTTATTGTCTGACAAATTCTTTATGGAGATATAATTAAGGTTAGTCTACTTTTAAATGGACATAATACATTTCTTCTGTGTCTCTATATTCATTCCCAAACCACAGAGATCATCACAACAGAAAACCAGCTGATCAATGGACTGTCTGCTACTGGTCACTGGCTACTGAGCCGTTTCTCATGATCTGTTAACATTAGCACCATCAGTGTTTATCTAAGAGGACAATGCTTACTCTGTGCTGGATACTATTTAGCTTGAGTTTGACAGTTTCATTAACTGTGTTGTCTAATGTCCAGAGTCTCCAGTGGTCTGTTACTCAGTCATGCTTTAGTTGAACTGTGTATTGTTCTGGATAATGGCGACAAGTTACACTAGTGTGGCATCAAAATAGAGAGAATCTTACTGGTGGTCCGACAGGCCCAGAAGCTCCTCTATCCCCCTGGGGAAACAAAACAAATATTTATCTTATATGAATTACAGTTGTGAGAAAAGCACGAGAATAATTCCTATAATTCTAGTTGGGGAACTTTTTTAAAGAGCAAGAGGAAGGGAGAGAAATCTGAGCTCAGGATGAGACCAAGCAAGCATATCATTTTAAGGACGTGTATTGTGGAAGATTAAATCATTTTAGATTTTGTATTAATGCTTCAGCAACTGCAAAATGGGAAAATGGTTCGACAGTGATGACACTCATGTCTGTGTGTTACGAATAGCACAAGCTGGTAGGTGATTATGTTAGCTTAGCATAAACACTGGGAGCAGGGGGAAACAGCTAGCCTGGCTCTCTCTAAAGCTCACTAATGAAAGTATTGCATCTCCTTCATTTAATCCATGCACTAACCTGAAATGTAAAAACACAAGTTCACAAACACATGTAGATTATATTTTGTGTACGGATTAAACAAACGCAATAAAACATGTTTATTAGTGAAGCTAAGCTAATTGGATTCCTGCTCTAGCTTCATACAGTAGAGACATGAGAGTAGCATCGTATCGATCGTCTCATCTACCTTTTCGGCAAGAAAGCAAAAAGTGTATTTCCCAAATTCTAGAACTATTCCTGAAACTGTGCCCTGTTCTTATAGCACTAGATATACTGTACATGAGGCTCAACAAGTACCATGGCAGCCTGTTGGCCTACAGTAGCACACACACAGACCTGACTACTGCGGGTGTTAGCCGGTCAGGGTCACACTGGGGCTGCGAGTGTTTTGGCAGATGGTTTGGATTTGTTACTCAGAGAGACAGATTACCATCAACCTCCAATCTATCCACACAAACATCCCAGCTGTAGTGAAAGAATACCAAGGTACTATGTCAATAAAGCGGATGCACCTAAGTTGTTCCATACGTGATCCACAAGCCAAGCAAACACTGGCTCTTGGATCTTGTAACACTAACAGACAAAAATCTCTTCAGCTTTTATACCTCGTACGTCTCTCAGTCAGTGTGACATGGATGACTCGCCTAAAAAGGGACGATGATTTCAATTCTAGTGTTCTTACACCATCAAAACCAGATTCCTGTCTGACTACAATTACTGAGGCCTGATAATGTCTCGATGTGTACTCTCTCTCCCATTCATACATACATACATACATAAGCAGCCCAAACTACCTCAACTGGCTGCTCTCAGTCCAAGTTGAGTTTCAACTCACCACTGCACAGAGAAGGGAAACCTTACCACTGTCACTGCACAACCAATCTACCGACAACGATTTACAGGAAGTTGACTTTTCATTTTTTTTTTTAAGTGGCTAACCTTTATACCACTATCGTCTCTAATGATGTTCATGTTTGCTTTATCTATACTATCGACAATAACGGCCAAACTTCTCCATTTGGGAGAGCAACAAAGCACACTGCAGAAGTCTGAAGGCCAAAACATGTGCAAACAGCAAAGATGCCATTGTGTTTTCCTGACTGCAGCTGCTCTTTGATTTTCTTTTCTAGGAATCTCACAAAATGCAAAGACAAATCTCACCGTAACCAGGGTGGAATCTACATTGTGCCTCTTTAATCTGAGGCTTAACCATCAGCGGAAGCCTCGTTCTTTAAACACTTTGCCTTGGGCTTCGTGGGGAGGCGAAGCAAAAAAAAAAAAAAAAAAACATTCCAGTTATCCTTTTGAAAGATGGTTACTACCTCTCAACAGCTGATCCAAAAGGCACCGTTCACAAAATCCATGCGATATTCCAGACAACCGCAATAGCCCAGAGGTAGAGTCCTCACACCGGTGGTCAGGAGCAAGTTACTGGGTTGCCACTTGAACAGACTTGCTGTTGGCCTCATGTGAATTGGGTCAAATCTTACTGAGAGACTTGTACGCAGGTGAGAGATTATATCACTTTAAACCAGTTTACCAAACTTTTTTCTTCTGTGGACCCAATTCACAATAGGCTTTATCCATAAATTCCGAACAGGATGTATGCGCAAGCCTTTCATATTAGATTCAATGTTATAAGTAGGCAACAATTATCAGAACAAAACAAACATTCAGGGCCCCTCATGTGGCTCAAAGGTGTGCAAATATAAATGTTGAATAAAAGACCGGTCGTGACTGCTCTAAACAAACAGTGATCCTTTGATAATCTTAAATCTGATTAAGCAACTACAAATTGTCCGAGATGCTCGTGTGCCGGGTACAATTATTTGAACACATACATGGCCACTCAGATACCAAGTAAAAACATTCTGCTTGTGTTCACATTGAGAAGCTTTCCCACCAAAGAAATGCTCCTTCCCAACAAGAGCATCACAATAGTGCCTATTGCCATTTGGCACACCAGTCTTCCTCTCTCAACTTGTAGCAACTTGTAGTGATCCTATCATCTGCACAGACAAACGCTGCCTGTGAAGCATGGCGCTGATGATTCGTGAGAATCCTGGCACACACACCCCCCCCCCCCTGTAGAAATTTGCATGTTGAGAGACAGTTTGAATATTGAGAAATATCTTTTGATAGACATGTAGTGTTGGCAGATGAGCCAAATGTATCAAGTTGGTATTTGGGAACCTTCTGCAAGTCTCTCGTCTTTTCTTTGAGAGAGGCCAAGAGTCAAATTCTGCTGCCAACATGAATGACTCCTCTGCTTTAGGGGCAACATGCTAGACCCCTGTTCTACAATGTGCTCTCATCTAGAATAGTTGCCTCTTACAGCAAAGTTACATTACACAGATGGGTCAAGATTATGTGACAAAATATTATTTGACCTCACCTTTGGGCCGTCTTTTCCCGGTGCTCCTGGAGGCCCCTGTTAAATGTAGAAAAAAAGCTTTTCATATCAGTTCGCTTTCACTCTCCAAAGACATACAACTGGATTCTGTGAGGGGAATTCGCATGCGACCATCTATCTGATCGTGTTTCCCACACTGAAATGTGTTCAATTCAATATTTCCACAGAAAACTAATTTATTCTTAATCATTTTAAAGTCAAAACTGACATCTTCATCGTGCTCCACCAACATTGATTATCCGAGATTAACTTTTTGAGTGAGATCAGCTCGATAGCAGTAAGAGCTTTGATCTCTTTCGTGCAATAACCGTCAATAAAGAAGTGTGGAGACATTGTATAGGGAGTAGGGCCAACATTCAGATCAGTACCAAGCCTATGAGTTACACAATCTACCGCATTCATCATCTCTGAAATGCTGACATGCAGACAAACACATGTGACCTGGTGGCCAAACCCCATAAATGTGCTCAGAATCTAATCGAGGTTGTTTTTGTGGAGAGAAGAACGACTCTCTTTAATTCAGACCTCACCAGCGTGTGCACTGATTAAATGTATTAACAGGTCTTGAATATAAAGAGATGTGAATTAAAACAGATCGAAATGTCAGACGCACACACAAAGCAATAGATCACTTCCTACTATGAAAACAGTGTTCCAGACTTCTGGGCTTGGCATCATGCAACTCAGGTTATAACTAATTGCAAGTGTTTATGTTGTGATTTATTAATAATGATTGCATAAATACCCAAGCTTTAAAAACTAGAAATGTGTCTCTATGGCCACTTCCTGCACATTCTTGAATTCGATCCCACACTTTAACACCAAGGGTTCACACTTGCAGGCAAGACCGAGCGTTGCACAAAAACACCGTAAGCCAAAGAAAACAACTAAAGCTGTAAATGGATTCAGACTTCTTTGTTGTTACTGCCATTAAGTGTTTCATCCTTTTCCACCTTGTGGGTTTCTTTAAGAGCGTGAGTAATGGGATGTTTTTTTGTGAAATGCGTCAGTTGAAACACAATAGATACTTGGTTGCACTCTACTTACGCTCCCTTTTTAAAAGACAAATTAATCCCAGCTCTCCTGGGGCTTGTCTCACGTTTAAGGATTACAAAATTACCTGGATACTTTTGGTGAAAAATTTCAATCTGCAACATTAATGAAATTAAAAAGAGCTTTTCATGGTTTTACTGCATTCATTGCTCTCATCCAGATTCATTTGGTAACTGTGAAGTGAGGAACTAAACCAACAGAACATAAGGACAATGGAGGAGACTGGTATCCAAGAAATACTCAGAGCAGTAGAGGCCACCGTCACACACACTCATTCATAATGATTCAGAAGCCTATGTTGTTAAATCTGAGGAATAAAACCAATTATATTGTACATAACATGCTGAGTAAAGGAATCTATTGTATCTGCGATAAAACACTGTGTGGCAGAGCTGGTTAAAACACAATTATTTACAATAATTGAGAAGAAAAAGTATAGTAACTGACCACAGCTCCTCTGGGACCCCGTTTGATACGAGACAGGTCTGGTGTGGGTCCAATGGGTCCCATCAAGCCCCTGGGACCGGGAGACCCAGGGGCCCCCAACAGCCCTGGACCGCCCTCCGGTCCTGGATCTCCTAAAACAATCCAGACTCATATTAGTGAACTAAAGACAACTGATCACAAGAAAAGGTCAGACGTGGAGTAGATGCTTTTTAGCCAGGCAAGGGCTCTCGAAATGTTGGTCAGTCCTGCCATGAAATACCTGTAATTCAAACTAATGACATTCCCATCAGTCTCAGTTGTAGTTTATATTTATTTCTTATGAGCACATATTAGCATGCTCACATGGCAAACATAAAAAACGTCACTGTTAGAATGTTAGCATGCTGATGTTAGCATTTATCTTAAAGCACAGCTGTGTCTCACAGAGCCGCTGTCATGGCCGTAGACTCATGGTCTTGCTTCAGACTGAACTATCCCTGCTGGATTCAGGCCAGTTTCCTTATGCAGAGTCTGACACCGTTTTATTTTCTTTAGCTTTATGTGTTCACCTGGAGGACCAGGGAGACCTGGAGGCCCTGGCAAAAATATTGGCGACGTCAGGATTTTCTCGCTGGTCATCTGCTCGGGGACGTCTGCACTGTTTGACAGCATGGCCATCTTGAATAGAGATGAAGAAAATCATGACTTAATGGACGGGTCAATGACAAGTCAACTACAAATAACTGAATGAGTGACAAATCAAATAAAGAACATAGCCAACTGAAATACATATTCTTTTGTAGGATGAAAGTCTTTGTTTCCTCAATTTGAAAGTGATGTCAAACATCCAAATGTCATTTTCTACATATAATGATTCATAAAGTCATGCAGTCTCATACAAGACAGGGCAATTACAGACTGAAGGACTAACTTCAAGTAAAATTACGTTAAAATGATACACCCAGCCAAAGATGAAAGCTGATATTCCATCTGCTACAAGCTGTAACCCAGACAGACAGAGGGCCAGGCAACCCCTCTGCATTATTCAACAAGACAAGGAGAGTTCCTGCTCTGTATGCTAAGCGACGGACTCGGGAAAAGTTATCTTTGATCTCTGTAGAACATCATGTGGATATGGCAGTCCCAGAGGGACATACGCGAAAGACCTCGCTATGCAGCAAAGGGCCTACAAATCAGAAGTTATGCGCACAGACATATGGCCACACACACAGACACACACATGCACACACACTGAGTGAGGTCATGGTTCACCTGCTGATCAGAGAGCATTATGCTGTGGTTTGGGCACAGGGGTTTGAACCACAGTGTGATCCTATATTCACCCTCTAACCTTCCTATGATACGAGTAAATGACAATATACTTTCTCATATACTGCAATAATATACAGTATTTTTGTTTAGTTGTCTTAATATATTAACATTAAGAAAGAAGAGGCTTATATTGTATAGCCAACACAGCTGGAAGTAATATATAGAGCGTTACAGCCGAAGGTGTTGAGTGCCACTGTTGACAGACTCGTGCTCAGATAGCTTCAGACGCCCGTGATTACAAACAGGGAAACGTAACCCAACTGTTGAGTTTCACACAAACTGTGAAATATTTCACACTTATGGAATAAATCTACCAGCTACAGTGAGGGAAGTTTGTTCAGACTTTTTTTTATTAGGAAATAAAGTGCTACAATAAATCTCAACGAAGCTGTAAAAATGTGCCTGCTGCCGTTTCTGAAATACTGTCAGATATGGATTCTTTAGAGTCAGGTGGTCATAAAGAAACAGCAGTTCTGCAGATATTTACATTCAGCTGAATATAGACGGTGAGTCTAATGCTCACTGGGGCCTTTTTGAGGTCAAGAATAGATTACTAAAAACAAAGCTACAGGAGTATGATTTAAGATAAAAGTGGTGTAGCATTGCAGGTAAAGTGCATAGATTCAATTTCATATTTGTAAGATGTATATTTTTCATTTTGTTTTCTGACCCTCTGTTTAAGCTGCAAGACAGACATCCTGATGTGGTGGAAATCGTCACATGTGGCTGAGCAAGTCCCAGCGTTCATCACGTTGTCAGACTTCTCAAAGAGATGCACCGCTGGGAATTGGGGAAAAAAAGGAATCCGTCACAAACGTTACCAGGAAATGATTCTTTCAGAAAATCAGCAGAAAAGGGAAAAACACTAAATATGTGGAATTATTTAATATGATTTGAGCAAGTATGTCTTAACAATTTGAACTACAAAATGTGTTAAAGCAATCCAATTAGAAGAAAATTTAAAAACAGTAAGGTTGATGAGTCACACAGTGATAGTTTGATGGGTTGTTGCCAACTGTGTGAGCTAACTAGGGTGGTAAAACTGCTGGGGGTAAAACAATGCAATATAATTACATATTTGCATGTTTGAACATTTTGACAAATAGATGGTGTTCTAAGGACATTTCTCTCTACGATCAACAACTCTTTATTCAGAAACCACCTAAAAAATAACAAATGTACAGAGCTATGGCGCCTGGTTTTGTCTCCGACCTGTAGGAAAATGGCCCCTTCTCTACAAATGTATATATTATGGAAGAGTGAAAGTGTCTGGACACTATTTTCCCCGCTACGTTACGAAGCAGCAGGACATAAAGCAAGAGCAAGACTATATGAACCATCGTTTCTCACTCTCCAGCTTCTCCTTAAATGTTGTAGTAGGTAATGGAAGATAAACTCATGGGAGGAAGTAGCAAATCTGCAGCGCCTGAACGCTTCATTTGCAACTGAATCTGGGGCAAAAAATACTTTATTATTGCCTGGACCTTTTGTCATGTTTTCCTTATATGCATCCAGCAAAAAGACCAGGAGTTACGGGGGCAGCGGTATGTTTGGGAGACAGAAAAATTCTGACATGCACATGGAGCTGTGATGTGTAATGATTACCAGGTGCCCCCCCCCCCCATCATCTGCCTTTCTCCCACCAAATACTGTGTGGTCAACTCCACATCACAGTCACATGTGCCCTTGAATAAAGAGAAAATGTCTGAGTAAAAATACTATTCTCACCTCTCTCCCCCTTGGTGCATGTTTTCCCATCTTCTTCCAGGAAATAGCCTTTCTCACACTCGCACCTGTAGCCCCCCACAGAATTGACGCAGATCTGAGAGCATGTTGTCGTGTTTTTGTCTGCACATTCGTTGATGTCTATACGTTTTAGAGGCCGACAGAGAAAAGGAAAACGAGACAAAGAACATATACATTTTACATATACGACTATAATTGACAATGTGTAATAGGATACATAAAAAAAACAATTTATCCATTCCTCAAAATCAATTCATCCATTTATACTTTATGTGCACTTTGGTCCAATGACAGTTGTTAGGGTAATGAATTGTATGTGATCATGGATTAAAAGCCAAATAAAACCCAAATTAATTACTATCTCTTTCCAATTGCAGTGTGTTCGTATAACAGAGCACTTAATTCATATTTGAATTAAGTGCTCTTAACTTGTACTTGTTGTACTTTAAAGATTGCTATTAGATAGAAGAGTTCAGGTTTGTACTAACTGACAGGTCAAGCTACACACCTTCATTTTCATTACAAATATGAGAGTGTAAAGCTTATTCTTGTTTTTAAAGAGGAATTATATTCATGAGTTGCTCTACAAGGTCTCACCCAGACAGTACGGCTTCTCTCGGTTTCTGTGACGCTCACGGTCGTAGCGATATCCGGGGTAACAGGTGCACACCACTCGACCAAAGTGGTCGGTACACTGTTGCTCACAGGGGGCGCCAGCACACACGTCATAGTCTACAGACATAAATGATGCATTTCATCACACACAAGACAACACAAGGGGGGATTTCTCAGTTTTAGGCAACATGCCTGTCATGGGTTAGTAAACACTCAGTGAGGTTAAACACATGAGAAGGTTAAGTGGACATCAAACAATAAAGGACTAAAGACCTTATTGAACATGATAGGAGAGAATTCCAACAATAATCATAACAAAAAGTTTCCCCTACCTTCAGGAATGCACTGGCCCAACACAAACTTGAAGCCCGTGCAACATTTCTTTCTGTAAAACATCAAATGGACAAACATAAGCAGGCAGATCCAAAACACTTCTAACAATCACAGAACAGGTCCCATATGATGTGCATGTTTGACAAGTAACATCTGCAGAATGTGTTCTGATCCAGTGATTGTGTTTACATTTGTGTTCGTTAATGTGGGAAACATCTTCCTAAAGATTATGTGGCCAGACTACGCACACACACACTTCATCTTTTCTGTCACATCAATTTCTTTCTGCTCACTTGTACTTCTTTTCTTTTCGATTCCCATAAAGGCCGTGATGAATTTACATCCAAACAGTGGTTGTGCGTTTGTGTTTAGGTGAGAACTAATGAGCTTTCCTTTAGCATATTCTATGTAGCATAATTTCCTCATCCGTGTTAAGTTTTATTGATACCATCTCCATGATAACATATTGTTGCAATATCCTATCAGCACGATCCACATCATCATGAGGTAATATTCAGCCCCGACTCCCACTCAGCTCTAAGGAAAAGTGCAACCAGGTGTAAAAAATCCAATTATAGCATGAAGTCATGGCAATATAGTGCAGTCACACTCACTTTGATAGTGGTCCTGTAAAACGATTACACTGTAATGCTTTACAGTTTTTATTCAGGAGCTGTTATGATGATGGAGCATTCCTATGGGCCTGTGTGGTTCTCCCTCCTCTGCTCAGCAGCATTAAAAAACAATTCAAGAACTTTATTTGAGGTTGTTGCAATGACAACAAAATCAAAATGTTTTGGGAGAGTAAGAAATTATGTTGTCTGAAGACAGTTAAACAGATTTTAGATTGATTTCTGAGATCTCTCTGTAAAATGGCCCGTTAGAGACTTGGAACGGAGCCTCTTAATTTTAGTTTCTCATCTTATTAAAGTAAGATTTTCTATTTGCTAACTGCAATTTCATTCATGAATCAAATGACGCGTTTAAAAAAAAAAATAAAAAAAAAAATAAAAAAAAGTCATTCTTTTTGCAATAACACCACCACAGAAACATAATCCTGGTAAAACAAAGTACATGACTGACTCTCCACCACTGCAATCCAGTGGGTCTACCTTCTACAGTCGAGTGGATTTACAGTCATTTTCATGGGTACAGGATACAGAGCAGCCAAGTACTTATTTCACTCACACAATTGAATATGTACTACCTAAAGAGGGCAACTATTGCAACTCATGAGGCCCTCTATGAGGTGGGGGCAGGCCGCATCTAGTTTGTGCATCTACATGTACTGTCTGTGTGCAATTTGTCATTTAGTGCTAATGTGTTTATTGTGGGCTTGCATTGTGTGATTGTACACATGACGGCAGGTATGTGGGGATCATAAATTGAAGGTTGTTTAGATATTTAATCTGATTGATCAAATTGACATCCACTGGTGATTTACTGGCCTTATACATATGTTAGCATACTATAAAGCGCAGTAGTTGCTGATGTGCAGTTACCTTTTTGAGGCATGCATCAGCTATAGTGTGGCTTTGTGCAAATGCTCTGTAAATGTAACACGCACTTCTAGCTTCAGCTGTACTTTGTGTTTGCCAAACTGTGGAAAGTGTTGGTGTTGAGGAGAGAGAGAGCTCTGATCCGAGGATGGTTTCCTGTGTGACCCAATATTTCATGTCACAATAACATCCCCATGAAGACAGAAGGTACTTATAGCAAATAACCAGCTTAGCAAAATAACCAGGGTTGGTAGAACAACCATGTGAAAACAAACATCTATGTCCGTCTCCAGAAGAGCATGAGAAAGGCAACATCCCATGGAAACTGGGTTCATATCTGTGTTGAAGTTCATTTTCTACTGAACTGCATCTTTATTAAATTATCATTCAGGGAAATGCTCATTAGCCCAATAATATTCTACCTTATTGTCCTTTATCTCATTATATCACCAAATCTGATATTTGGTTACTTTGCAGGTTGAAGCACTTTTAAAAACTAAATGACAGTATTATCTGGAATTGTCCTTTCAGACAAATTGATTCAATTTAAAAATAGTTGAATTCTTGTGTTGTCCCTTTGATAACCTTTTCCTATTTTGACACTTGGACATGAAAACAGGCAGACCAGGGGAGAGGTTGACACGCAAAACCAAGATGGTAACGATGTGACCTGTCTGCAAGTTAAAACAACATGCCGAGCAAAGACACCGGCTGATAGATACTGGGCAGAAGGTCAATGCACTAAAGCAATAAAATAACCTCAAACCAACTACAGGATTTATAGTGTGGGGGGGGGGGGGGAGAAATCTGTTAGGTCTCAGAGATAAACTGCTGATGCATATAAATAACATTCTCATCACATACCAGACGTATAGCTATGTTAGCGCTGACATTCACTTAAAAGTTGTTTTTAAGTGTTATTCTTTGCCAAACACACCTTTCCAAAATGGTAAGTGTTTAAGTAGCTTGAAGTAAAATTGTAATGTTTTCCCACAATGAGGGCCAGCTTAAGAAACACTTTCGATAAATGCAGTGTGTATGAAGGGTGTGGATGAACTCTTACCTCTTGCTACAGCACGCCAATACTAAATCAAAAAGGATATAAATATTTCCAAACAGCTTCTTCTAAAGCTGTTTTGGCATTGCTTTCTCAAAAGGCTGTAATAGTCTACCTCAGCTCCTCTCACTGTGTTTGAACAGCAGAAAGCGCTCAGCTCTAAATCACCGTCCACAGTGACACACTAGGGGACAGTGAAAGAGCACGATATGAATGTGCCTTTGTTGTTTTGGCATCGAATAGAATAAATCCTATCCAAAAGATTAAGCATGGGTAATTAAAGATGAAGCTCTTCATTATATTCAGCACACGACAAGAGCATGCCGAGTATTATGCACGGAACAGCCAAGAATACAATGCTGTGCAGACTTGTTCGGTGCTCATGTACATTATGCAAATCAGGAAACAAATTCAAAACACATGTGGATTTCATTCATATTCATGAGTGAGACAACAAAGGGGGGGGGGGAAGATATCCCCAAAGCATTCATGACACTTTTCTACAAGAATATCAATGAGTTTCCAGTGCCACATGCCCACACACACATAACACCAGCTTTCTGTCTAACATTTAACTTCAGACGCACTAGACCTGCACTTGTTCAGAATACGCACATCACAGACAATCGGATTGTTTTGCCACCTGTGCCTTTTTTTTTTTTTTTCCCCCATCAACAAGGTCATTTCATTTTACCAGTGATGCATATCATTTTACAGGGGCCTCCCTGAAATCTAGACAGAGATTAGTCTGACCTCAGTTACCCTGGTTGAACCACAAGCACTCTAATTACCTTATAAACAGCGGACCTCCCCTGAACCAACATGGTGGACTGACCTGGCCTGGCTTTGTCTTGTAATGAAACACACTAATTCACACCGACGTGAAACATGATCGCGTGAGCTAAAAATTGCACAAGCATGCAGTACCTGCACCGTCGCATGAGAGGCCCTCTTCATCGCATCCCAGCATGCTCTTCTTTCTTACAGGGATAACAATGACAAAACTAAAGGGTATCCCACACAAACACACACACAGCTGTGAGACAACACATGCAGTCCGCTCAGTGGAGGCTTGTTTGTCTAGCAGTGATATACGATAACATGTCTGCATTCCACTCGAGAAGATGTTTGTCAAAGTGGAGAGGACACAACCTCGACACTCATCCTTATTGGCCTGTTCATGCTGAATAGTGTGGATTAAGAAGAGGGATACAAAAGAAACGCAAATCAACTAATAATTCAATAATTTTGTAAGTTGTGATTGACATGTTTCACTACGTTTTGGACATGATTTAGAGACATGATTTATATAAAAATATGAATCCTTAGTTGCAGCCCTAATTATTCTAGTTGTCCGTATACTGTAGACGTATATTTAGAAGTGTTGTTTAGCTTGTAAGAGTATTCCGCTTGGTATACATATTTTGGAAATTATGAAAAAAGGCTTCTTACCTAAAATGTTTATTAAACTTTCAGTCTCCAGATAAGTGTTTGGCCTCATTATTGCATGCTAAAACTTGTTTTCATTGATTGCTATGCTCATTATAATCAACTCTTCTTTCGCGCTTTCACCTTCCTTTATTGTTACATCTTGCGTCATTGCCACATTACACTTCGTCCCAGATGAAGAAGCTTCACTTGTTTTCCAGGAAAATCGTAACCTCTAAAAGATGTCGATATTGTCAGGACACAGTAGCTCCTGTTTACACTGCCAAGCATTCGGTACGAGTGTTAGCCAATTGATTCTTCTGCAAAACATGCATCAAAGGCAGAACCCATTCAGCATTTTGCATACAACCATCTGTTAAATCAGACATTTCCTCAATAACTCAAAGACAGCAGCATTTCCCTCCAGCCTCCGGTTCCTTCAGCTCCTCCAGATGGATTGTTCCTCTTTTTAGCCGCTAACTTCACATCAAAAACCCGAACACTGGCATTCTAGACTGTAGAGTAATCCACAAGGCAACTGTTCATCCTTCAAGTATTTTTACAGATACACTGCCTACTTAGTATTCAGTGCTTTACACATATCACAACTCACTCTGCTGTCTAAAAAAAGACTTTCCAAATAATCAAGTCATCTTGGATAAACCAGTTTAACTGTGAACCCTCTCAGTTAGGGGCGCACGCGCACACACACACACACCTCCTGGTTTATGCGTTTGTTCTGGACATTATGTCATTTGGAAATAAAACTCCAGCTTGTCAAAATGTGTTTTATTTCTGTGAGCACACACTGGTCGCCATGACAAACAGGAGATAAAGTTAAGCAATTCCAGAATAGACAAAATACTGTATATTAAGAGGGACAGTTAACTACTGCCAGTGTTCCTATAAAAACAACCCCCAAGGAGACGCATTAAAAAAAACAAAGAACAGAGAGTCCATCCTCAGAGTTGATTGATACCTTTGTGTTTTCCAAAAATGTCCAAATTGAAAAAAAAAAAAAAAAAAAACACTCTTGGAAAGGTTTTTTATTCTGCTAAAAAAAAAAAT